CTGGATGCTTCATACTTTGTATATGGATGCCTCATGTTACGAAGTTTCCGTCAGTCACATGTCCAATGTCCTTGACCTCATTTTCATGGTTCAGTGACTACTTGAAAAAAAAGTTCAGATTTTTTGTAATGTTAAATTCTCTCTTATTATAAGTAATAGGATAACTATATTTAGTATGTGCGTACCTTGCAAGGTCCTCATGCCCGTCAGACAGTTTTCACTTGACCTCAACCTCATTTCATGGATCAGTGAACAAGGTTAAGTTTTCGTGGTCAAGTCCATATCTCAGATACTATAAGCAATAGGTCTAGTATATTCGGTGTATGGAAGGACTGTAAGGTGTACATGTCCAACTGGCAGGTGTCATCTGACCTTGACCTCATTTTCATGGTTCAGTGGTTATAGTTAAGTTTTTGTGTTTTGGTCTGTTTTTCTTATACTGTATGCAATAGGTCTACTATATTTGATGTATGGAATGATTGTAAGGTGTACATGTCTAGCTGGCAGGTGTCATCTGACCTTGACCTCATTTTCATGGTTCAGTGGTCAAAGTTAAGTTTTTGAGTTTTGGTCTTTCTTTCTAATACTGCATGCAATAGGTCAGCTATATTTGGTGTATGGAATGATTGTAAGGTGTACATGTCTAGCTGGCAGGTGTCATCTTACCTTGACCTCATTTTCATGGTTCAGTGGTCAAAGTTAAGTTTTTGAGTTTTGGTCTTTTTTTCTAATACTATATGCAATAGTTCAACTATATTTGGTGTATGGAAATATTTTATGATCTATATGTCAGTTACGCAGGTTTTATTTGACCTTGACCTCATTTTCAAGGTTCATTGCTCAGTGTTAAGTTTTTGTGTTTTCGTCTGTTTTTCTTAAACTTTAAGCAATAGGTCAACTATATTTGTTGTATGGAAGAATTGTTAGCTGTACATGCCTGCCTAGCATGGTTCATCTGACCTTGACCTCATTTTCATGGTTCATTGGTCAATGTTTAGTTTACTTGGTTAATGTTAAGTTTATGTGACAGTTGTAATAAAGCTTTATATTTAGGACTATCAACATAATATCAATGATTAGTAAAGAAGGCGAGACATTTCAGCGTGTGCACTCTTGTTTTAATTGGTTTAATGTCATCTGATCTTAAATTATGTTCGTGGATATTTATTGTGCACTGAGCCCTCTGTTATTGAACTGACAGCGACTTTTTGCGATTTTCTCACTTTATTTTCATATTTTTCAGTTCAAGTTTCTAATGGTGCGAAGATCTCACAACCATAATAAGTGAGATAAATTGACATGAAAAAAAAACGTACAAAATTTTATGTATAAGTGTTAAAAACATGGGTTAAAACAATCTGACTAAAAGTAAGATCAATCACGACTCGCCTGCTCATATATCACATGAGAATAACGAAATCAGAGAACTACATTTTAATAAGATTAGGGTCAACTTAATGAGATAGCTTGAAAGCAGGTATGTTCTGGTAAATTTAAAGCGATTACTGTTTTTAGCGCTATTTGAATATTTCTATTATGAAACAAATCCCTTCATGTATAACCTCCATATGTGCACTTTGAACAAGATGCAGTTTAGACCTTTGACCTTGATTTAACGAAAATTGCACCGTACGAATTATTGACGACAGGGCAAAAATGAAAGTACAGGTAATAAGCTTTCGAATGATATATAATATAGCCGTATGTTAGGTGGGTGCATTAAAGTTGTTAACTAAGCCTCTTTTTGAAAATTGTCACTCGCCTACTTGTGTATAAGTATTTCGATTGCTCTGAAATTGTACAACAATGTTTAATACCACAAGTAGAAGGTTGGGATTCATATTAGGGGTTATGGGGCAAACAGTTTAGGAATTAAGGGCCTAAAAGGGTCCAAAAACAACAATTTTTGTAGTTTCCAGACAATAACTTGTGTGTAAGTGTATGGATCTCTCTGATATTGTACCATAAGGTTCCATATCACAAAGGGAAGGTTGGGATTGAGTTTGGGGGTAATTGCCTCAACATGTAGGAATAAGGGGCCAAAAAAGGGCCAAAAACATGCATTATTCTAGTTTCCAAACCATCACTTGTGTTAGATGTGTATGGATCTCTCTGAAATTGTACTACAAGGTTCCATACTACAAAGGAAAGAATTGGATTGAGTCTTTGGGTAATTGCTCCAATGGGGGATTCCAAAAGTCGTGGGGGGGGTTTCAAATTTTTTTAAGGAATTCATATTTTTTTCAAAAATTTTCAAACTTCAAATTTTGTAAAATTTCAAGAAGTAATCTTCAATTGCACAGTATTGCGCAATAGATTTGTAAGATCTTTTACCACATTTATTTTGTGTCAGAAACCTATATTATGTCAAAAATTTGATCACAATCAAAATTCAGACAGTATCAAGCTTGAATATTATATCCAAATTTGCCCCAACTGTTCAGGGTTCGACCTCTGCGGTCGTATCAGGCTGCACTCAGCGAAGCATTTTATTGGTTAATATCTTGAATAGTATTAATGATAAAGATAAACTGTAAACAGCAAATATGTTTAACAAAGTAAGATCTACAAATAAGTTTATATGACCAAAATTGTCAATTGACCCCTTAAAGAGTTATTGCCCTTTAAGGACAATTTTACACAATTTGTTTATCATGTTTTCTAACTTTAAAAAATCTTCTCCTCTGAAACCACTGAACCAATTCCAACCAAACTTAAGCTGAATGATCCTTAGTGTATCTAGAATAAAGTTTGTGTTTACTTTTCTGTTTCGTCAAAAAACATGGCCACCATGGCTAAAAATAGAACATAGGGGTAAAATGCAGTTTTTGGCTTATATCCAAAAAACCAAAGGAGTTAGAAAAAATCTGACATGGGGTAAAAGTGTGAAGTTTTATCAGCCCTGAAATTTTCAGATGAATCTAATAACCCATTGTTGGGTTGCTGCCACTAAATTGGTAATTTTAAGGAAATTTTGCAGTTTTTGTTTATTATCTTGAATAGTATTAATGATAAAGATAAACTGTAAACAGCAAATATGTTCATCAATGTAAGATCTACAAATAAGTTTATATGACCAAAATTTTCAATTGATCCCTTAAAGAGTTATTGCCATTTAAGGAAAATTTTACACAATTTGTTTATCATGTTTTCTAACTTTAAAAAATCTTCTCCTCTGAAACCACTGAACCAATTCCAACCAAACTTAAGCTGAATGATCCTCATGGTATCTAGAATAAAGTTTGTGTTTTATTTTCTGTTTTGTCAAAAAACATGGCCACCATGGCTAAAATTAGAATATAGGGGTAAAATGCAGTTTTTGGCTAATATATCTCAAACACTTCAGCAATTTGATTAAATCTGATGAGAGGTTAAAATGTTTATTAGGCCAAGTTCTATCAGCCATCAAATTTTCAGACGAATCTAACAGTCCATTGTTGGGTTGCTGCCATTAAATTGGTAATTTTAAGGAATTTTGCAGTTTTTGGTTTAATATTATCTTGAATATTATTAATGATAAAGATAAACTGTGAACAGCAAAAATGTTCAGCAAAGTAAGATCTACAAATAAGTTAATATGACCAAAATTGTCAAATGTGTCCTTAAGGAGTTATTGCCCTTTAAAGACAATTTTTCACAATTTGTTCATCTAGTGCTTACTTTAAAAAATCTTCTCCTTTGAAACTGCTGAATCAATTTCAGCCAAACTTGGGCTGAATGAGTTTCAGAGTATCTAGTATAAATTTTGTATTTTATTTTCTTGTATGTCAAGAAACATAGCCACTATGGCTAAAATGGAACATAGGGGTTAAATGCATTTTTTGCTTTTGAAGAAAATATGACAGATACAAAGAACATTAAAATGGCATTTTTAAACCACTCATTAATATGTTTTGAAAAGCAAAAATAATCATTGATGAAAGATTTAAGCAAAAAATTACAGGTGAGCGGTTCAGGCTCTTGAGAGCCTCTTGCTATTCAAAAGAAACTTTTAACAAGAGTTCTATAGTGATCCCAAGTCCCCAAGCTTTCATTTGATACCAAAACTACCCAAATATTTCACCTATTGACAAAGATACAGCTATACGTAGGAACTAATTAGTGGTTCTATACCTATAAGTCAATAAAATCTTTTCAATTCTAAACTGTTGCATTCTTGAATGTTTTTAGAAAAATGGAAAGAAATATCATGAAGTAAATGCGATGAAACTGTCAAAATCCCGATTTTCGTTGATGCCATGAATCTAGTATGAATTGGATAGTTTGAAAATATAAACCCCAACTTTTAAGTCATCTCCAAATGACCGAAATGGGTGAAAAAATTTCTGGATCCTTGCCTGTAATCATATTTTATATCTGCATAATCTGAAATATTTGAATTGAAAAGTGTACCTACAAATCTACTGGTTTTCTACTACTAGAGGGGGTGTTTAATGACCTTGACTACCCATGAGGGTCTTGCACGATCAGTACTGGTTTTTGATGAGGAATGTGGACAAATTGTCTTGAAGGTTTATCTTCAAAAACTGAAAAACAGTAAATCAATTGGCATAAAACAGAGATTAGGAAATGTCAGATTTTTAGGTAGCGATCAAAGTAAATCCAGTTTTTGTACGAAAATTATATTTTCACAAATCTAGTAGTGAATTGAGGAAAAAAGGAGAAAATTTTTGCATATCTTTATCCTCAAAATACTATTTAATTTTGACTTGGATTCCCTGACTGTTTGATATAGAGGAAGAAATTTTTTCTGATCAGTTTGCCTTTTGCTTGGCTGTTACTTTATCCAATCATCAACAAAACTCTGCATAGTTTTTCTTGGCCAGCTGTTTGTCAGTCAATGATTTTTTTTATGTGATTAGGAGCTAATAATATTAGTAATGGGTAAGCTATTTTCAGATATACAATATTTTGAAGGCATACTTCAATGGTATGTCATCATATGCAAATTCATGCTTTGCCTGAAATGACTGTTGAACTATTTCATTTGATATTTATAGGCACGTGTGTTACTGAGAAAGCTTAAGAGAGAGAAGCTGGAATTGTGGGCTGTTGGTGTCATTCATAAATATCACAATGGATGGAAAGTTAGGAAAGAATACAGACGTAAATTTAAATCTATAGCTGGACCAAAGATTGTTAAGTTCTTGAGGGTAGCATTGGTAAGTTTCTATATAATAGAAGTTTTAATTGAGATCAATGACTAGACCAAAGATCAGGATGTTCTAAATATTAGCTTTAAAATATTTAACTGAATCCTACATTATGAAAATTAGCCAGAAATACTACGGTATATACATGTATCTATATTCCTAAAACATATTTGACAGTAAAATAAACACTTTTAAACTATAAATGATTTACACCTCCATATTTGGCAATATAAGCAATACTGATACATGTTATATTATATTTAGATGAATGTTACATCACATTATAACCAGTTTACATATACATGACTTCCTTTTCACAGGTACATTCAGGTTAATGAGATGTGCTTACTTTTACATCACATTATGACCAGTTTACATATACATGACTTCCTTTTCACAGGTACATTCAGGTTAATGAGATGTGCTTATTTTTACATCACATTATGACCAGTCCACAGATGCTACACTTCCTTTTCAAGGTCACTTGAATGTTTACATATGAAAGTCGATAATGACCTCCACTTCTTATTTATTGATGAGGTGTTAATCACCTCCGTCATAACTTGACTTGTAATTTCTGGTTTCAGGATAAACATGTTTATTGTTTTTAAACAATTTTTTTTAATTGAAAGATTATATAGATTGATTTTATTGTATTCATAAATGAATATGTAGGTGGGTCAAAATAGGTTTTTTTTTAGATCTGTATCCTTCCACTTTCAACAAAGATACAGAAAAGATAGTGTAATAAAAATCAGTTCAGAAAAATCATTTAACTCTATAATATGGGTATAAAAAAATCACAAGTATAATAAACAGTACTATATATCTAACAATGGAAACAGTTACTGAAAGCAAGCTCAAAATACCTAACCTGCTGATACAAAATACCTAACCTGCTGATACAAAATATCTAACCTGCTGATACAAAATATCTAACCTGCTGATATAAAATATCTAACCTGCTGATACAAAATACCTAACCTGCTGATACAAAATACCTAACCTGCTGATACAAAATACCTAACCTGCTGATACAATACCTAACCTGCTGATACAAAATACCTAACCTGCTGATACAAAATACCTAACCTGCTGATACAAAATACCTAACCTGCTGATACAAAATACCTAACCTGCTGATACAAAATATCTAACCTGCTGATACAAAATACCTAACCTGCTGATACAAAATACCTAACCTGCTGATACAAAATCCATAACCTGCTGATACAAAATACCTAACCTGCTGATACAAAATACCTAACCTGCTGATACAAAATATCTAACCTGCTGATACAAAATACCTAACCTGCTGATACAAAATCCATAACCTGCTGATACAAAATACCTAACCTGCTGATACAAAATATCTAACCTGCTGATACAAAATACCTAACCTGCTGATACAAAATATCTAACCTGCTGATACAAAATCCATAACCTGCTGATACAAAATCCATAACCTGCTGATACAAAATACCTAACCTGCTGATACAAAATATCTAGCCTGATGATACAAAATATCTAACCTGCTGATACAAAATACCTAACCTGCTGATACAAAATACCTAACCTGCTGATACAAAATACCTAACCTGCTGATACAAAATATCTAACCTGCTGATACAAAATACCTAACCTGCTGATACAAAATACCTTACCTGCTGATACAAAATACCTAAACTGCTGATACAAAATATCTAACCTGATGATACAAAATATCTAACCTGCTGATACAAAATACCTAACCTGCTGATACAAAATACCTAACCTGCTGATACAAAATACCTAACCTGCTGATACAAAATACCTAACCTGCTGATACAAAATACCTTACCTGCTGATACAAAATACCTAACCTGCTGATACAAAATATCTAACCTGCTGATACAAAATACCTAACCTGCTGATACAAAATACCTAACCTGCTGATGTATATTTCATACAGTAAATTTATGTAAAAAACATGCCTCACTACACTGTAATATAGGCGTGAGCCTCTAGTTATTTCTGAAGATAGAAAACCTATAGAAAACAAGTTAGGCTTATCTAGTGAACCAACACTTGTATGTTTATACATTGTTATAGATTTATACATATGAACAATGAGATTTGGGTATACATCAGTGAGATAGTAGTATGTTTATACATTGTTATAGATTTATACATATGAACAATGAGATTTGGGTATACATCAGTGAGATAGTAGTATGTTTATACATTGTTATAGATTCATACATATGAACAAAGAGATTTGGGTATACATCAGTGAGATAGTAGTATGTTTATACATTGTTATAGATTCATACATATGAACAAAGAGATTTGGGTATACATCAGTGAGATAGTAGTATGTTTATACATTGTTATAGATTTATACATATAATCAAAGAGATTTGGGTATACATCAGTGAGATAGTAGTATGTTTATACATTGTTATAGATTTATACATATGAACAATGAGATTTGGGTATACATCAGTGAGATAGTAGTATGTTTATACATTGTTATAGATTCATACATATGAACAAAGAGATTTGGGTATACATCTATTGGGTGTTTATAAGACAGGTTTTATTATATATATGTATATAACACAGATTAATGCTTTTTGCAGAAGAAACGGTTCCTGTTACGTGTAAAGTCTAGCCTGCCATCAATGTCACCGTTGGAGAAAACTTGGCCAAAGTGTTCATCTTTATTCTCAACGACATCAGAACAGTTACGAGATATTCACCATAAATGGAGGGTAACTATTATAAAGCTACTGTACTATTGTTTAGACTTGCTGTGTAGAAAAAAAATCCTATAATTTTCTTTCAGTAAGATAATGTTTTTTTTTAATAGTGTGAATATTTTGGTATGTTTCTGTCATACTATTTAATATTTTCAAATAAGAGTAAAGAATAAATATGAACAAATTGAATAACAAAAAAATGTTGTCAAAGTAAAGATTGGATTATTAAAATTTCATTTAATATCAGTTCAAAGTTCCAGTTTTACATATGATAAGGGTATTTGTCAATTTATACTTCACCATAAACTGTACATGAATAGGCTTTTTTTTATATAGGTTATTCCAAAACCAGACACAAATGCAAGATTAATTTATTGGGATTTAGGAAAATGCTGCATACAAAATAATGCTTTCAAAAATCAAAAAACTGTGGCACAATTTTTCACAAATATAAAAACATCACAAAAATATCTGAATTTTCAATATAAAATTGTAGTCAACTTAAAAACACTCAGTCATCAAAGAGACTATTGGAGACATCTTAGGTTATATAACCAGTGAGAATATGATAACATAAACAGATTATTATGCAGCATATCATTTGCTCAAATTAAAAATATGCAAGGCTGTAGTTGGTAAAACTCTGACGATTTGTTATTTGAATTTTAGTGCATGAAATATAGACAGAGATTTGATGAAGCTGAGAGGTACAAGATGAGAGAAAAACTTACTGCCAGCAAACTCTTTAAAGATAGGAAACCTACTTATAGTCAAACGTAAGGTTTTTTAAGACTGTCAGGTTTTCTGTTTACTGGAAATGTTGCCCCACAAGTCATAATGTTGTAAATATACATAATGTACACAGACTGATTTCAATGCTTTTGATATTCTGTTAACTGAGACATGTTTACTGCAGTTGTTTATCTTACATTTTAAACAAGAGTTCATTTAAGAAAAGTAGATTGTAATGAAATTAAAATGCATTAGGAAATTTATTTACAAAATGCAAACTTCAATTATAATGTGACAACATGAAGATTCTGGTACTGCAAATTCAGAAATTATTGCGTGCATTTATTATTGCGATTTTTTGAGAATGGACAAAAATGCGAGATTAATTATTGCGATTTTAAGAAAATCTGCATACAGATACCCGTATGAGATATCGGAATGCGAGTTCTTATTATTGCGATAATCACCAAGTCGCATTATTCGCATTAATAAAAACCTCGCATTAATATCTGAATTTACAGTATCTTAAAATATAGTAACACATTTGAATATGAAATTAAAATTTTATGCTAGAAATATAAAAGGAATTTAGTAGCTGCCTAGTTATATCCAGTAATATATTCTTTTGCTTTGTATTAAACAGTGTATCAGTGCCTTACAAGGGAGACTATCAAAATATTCGACAAAATCCACAATGGCAGAAAATGGCAGATAAAATTCAAGATCATCATATTATATTCTCTCACTTAGTGAAGAAAATCCACAGAGCTAATGGAAAGGTTTGTAAAATCCGTATCGAAGCATTTCGCAGTGCTGTAACAAAACTTGTTGGCATATTTATCTTATAGGCTGTTGACCTTGTATGACAATATTGATACACAATACATTTTGGCTGTTGATATTGTCAATAGAAGGTTAGAAATGGATATGTTGATTATACAGCAATCAAATATTTTTTGCACCAAATTATAGAATAGATTTAAAAAGATCAAAGTAAAGTTTGCAGCATAGTTCTGTATAATTTGTTTGTACTTATATGTGTAATTGTGCTGTGGTTGGCACCTCAGCAATAGGGATTCAAATTTTTTGTCTTTCCTTTTGAGGTTATTATGTGAAAATGGGGGAGACCTTCTCTCATACTCTACTTATATGATGAGGATTAAATAGTTTGTTGACTGGAAGAAAAAACTGTCTATATAATAAAGATTAATCCAATTTGTTAAGATGATATACAAAAACAATTAATTTACTGTGTAGTCATTAACTAAAATACCCTTTTTCTATTTCTACATTTGTGACTTTGTTTTCAGCTTGTAGACCAATTACTAGTAATGACAACAAGATTCATGCATTTCCTTGATCACAGAACCATGATGATAAAATACATGATACCTCTCTCAGAAGTTCAAAGAATCTCAGTCAGTCCCTTCCAGGATTGTGTGGTAGCTATTCACATACAGAAGGTGACTATCACAAGTTTATAGAGTGGAAACTTTTTTCAAGGATAATGTTGACAAAATCCCTGCTCAACTATTTATTTTCTTTTATTCATACAAGTTTATTTTGAAATATAATGATCAATAATACATAAAAAGCATAACAGGAATATTTGACAGTACAGCAGACGACATCAACAGCTTACTCTTATGAGAAAATAAGAGGTCTAAAGAAAGACATACAATACATTGTTCAAATAGCCAAACTTGGTAAAAAATATGGTGGGGTTTAACCAGTTTTAGGTACACACAAATCCCCCCTTAACCATGTCATGAAAATAAAACACATTAAAAAATGTGCTCAGTCCAATTACCAACAGGATGACCACTAACTTAAACAAGTCTTTGTTCCATGTTTTAATGGTGATGTTCAGTCTGTATTGACATTTTGTACTTAATGTAGTTGAAGAGTAAACTGAGATTTAAAAAAAATGACAAATCAAATATTGGTCTTGGAGTATAATGCATCAAAAATAGGGATGATTGTATGGCTGTAGAAGATAACTTATAAACCACAAATATTTGATTTATGTGAGGGATTATGAATGTAAAGCAATTTTTATGCCCCCGCTGTAGCGGAGGGGGCATTAAGTTTTACCCTTGTACGTACGTACGTCCGTACGTCCCAAAGTTGGTTTCAGTTCTCTAACTTTAGTTTGCCTCAACCAAATGTTATGTAACTTATACACAATGCTTATTACCACAAAACACAGATCAAGTTTGAGATTGGGTGCCGTCAAGGTAACGGTTCTTCAGTTATGCCCCTTTATAAACATAAAAATTGCTGAGTTTTTCATTTCCGTTATCTGACTTTAGTTTGCTTCAACCAAATGTTATGAAACTTATACACAATGCTTATTACCACATAATACAGATCAAGTTCGAAATTGGGTGGTGTCACTTTTACCGTTCTTGAGTTATGCCCCTTTATAAACATAAAAATTGCTGAATTTTTCGTTTCCCTTTAACTTTAGTTTGCCTCAACCAAATGTTATGAAATTTATACACAATGCTTATTACCACAAAACTCAGATCCAGTACAAATTTTGGTAGCGTCACTTTTACATTCTTCAGTTATGTCCCTTTATATCTTTATATGATATGCAAGCAGGGGCATCATCTGTGTCCCATGGACACATTCCACATTTTTTTTATTTGATAATGTCATATTTCCAGTATGTTCAGGAACCCTTATAACAGCTCTTTATCAAGAATGGAAAGACTGTTCTAAGACAAAATCAAGCATATTTTTACTTATAGTCAAAATTATATCCTCATTTTACTGGTTTCCCAAACCAACTATTTGATATATCGTTTGACTTGTGCTAGTCCTGTATGTGACTGTAATATTGTTTAATTATTTTCTTATTTCCTTTGATGGATAACTGTTTCAATATAAAAAAGTTGTGAGCAATCATGATAAGAATCAATTGCTACTAAAGTTTAAAAAATAATAAATTTGTGATGCCTTTTCATTTCTATAATAGATAGTCTGTCCCTACTTCTATCAAGCATGGCCTCCATTTTAACTGAAAATAGAAAAACTTGACACTGTCATCAAAGAAATAAATGAAGAAATTCTCCCAAATTTGTAAAAGTCCCATTTCCACCATCTTCATGAAATTGTTCTTTGGACTTAATATTGATCCTATTAATACCTGTCACATAGTTTATGTGCTTTACGTTTTCAGCAACAGAATGGAGACTTGTGGAGTAAGAAAGGAGACTATGTATTTTTGTGTGATCATTTGATAGAACTTGTAGCAAAGTCATATTTAGCCATTGAAAATTCATCATCAAAACCACCAGAAGTTCAGATACAGAATTCGTAAGTACAAAGAACCCATTAGTGGGGATGCTTTATATATTTTATTGGTACAATGTTTTACACCAGTAATAAAGAGCTGCGCCATGAGTGCATGATACGCTCGTCGCTTTTTCAAAGAATAAAGTTCCATAACTCCTCAATGTCATATCAGAAATTTATAAAAAACTAAAGGGAGGTTAATTTAATAGATATAAAATAGTCACCAAAGTTTCCTGAAAACTGCTCAAAGCACTTTTGAGTTTATTGTCCGAAAACTGGATAATCCCCCTTTTTTATGAACAAAATCCCATAACTTGAAAAATCGAAAGGGAGCTTACATCAATAGATATAAACAATTCACCAAAGTTTCAAGAAAACTGCTCAAAGCATTTTTGAGTTATGGTCCGAAAATTGGAAAATCACCCTTTTTTAATAAATAAAACCCCATAACTTGGAAATGTAAAATCTAAAATTTATAAAAATAGAAAGGGAGCTCACGCCAATAGATATAAACAGTCTACTTATAGCATGTAATTGAACAGGTGGAGGTATAATCACTTGTAAAACAGCAGAGAATACCAACAATATGAACATAAAGACTATCTGTTATATATGACAAGAAAGGATGTAAACATTTCCTAACTGTGAGTAGGCACACAATCATTGAATGGAGGAAAGGTTGCAGTATGTATCTCTCCTCACCCAAATCTTGATTTTAAACAAGTAATCTAATTTATTATGTGAGAGCTGGAAAAAGATGGATTTCTGCATAAGATTCTTCTATTTTCTATCATTTGTAAAAGTAATGAAAGCTGACAAGTGTGTTGAAAAAAATTACTGATTTTTACTTAACAGAATCCCAGCCTTGTTTGGTGGATCAGAAGTAGAGATCACATTTACAGAAGGAATGAAAGATCTACCATCAGGGACAGTCAAGGCAGCCAGGAAAAAACATAATCTTACTATAATGGTGCAGTGATCATTGTTGTGTCTGGTGATAGTAGATAGGTACACATGGGACGAACCATGATCAAGGAAACATAAGTGTGCAGTCTTCATTGAAGAACACTAACCCACACATCTTGTCATACATACTTTATCAGTAACACGAGTTATAATACATGAACAGCTGCAAAATATTTCTATAGAGAAATCAGCAGAAGATAAAAAGGAGAGAACTGATTAAATGTTACTCACTTTTTTCATTATAATTCATTAGCTATTTTTTCAAATGTTTTATAAGAATATTTGGTAGGTTTTATTTTTGTACTTTTCAATTTTCAAAATTTATTTATTTTACATTAATTTTTACTTAATTACAGTAAATAATTACCCTGGAATGAGAATTTCCCCCTCTTATATCTGTTTACATACTTCTTTAATGACAGTCAGTCCCAAACAGATCATTTCAATAGATTTCCCAGAAACAATCAAGTATATATAAAAACTTATACCTTATAGTATGATACACATGTTATCCCTTATCTTATTTTATGTTACTAGACAATCCTTTATTGGGCAGCATCGGAAAAGACTTTTAGGCAAATACCTCATACCTAGTTTCCAGTTATTTTTATTTGAATGAAAAAGTAATTAATCTTGGGTTTTTGCTCATTGTTGAAGGCCATATGGTACCCTATAGTTTCTTGAATTCATGTCCTTTGTTCTCTGGTAGATAGTCGTCTCATTGGCAATCATAACACATCTCCATATATGTACTTATTATATATATTTTACTCTAGAGAGATTTCAAATTTGATACTATTTTAAGATGTGATTATGTTAATTCTGTGTGAAAAAGGGTGCTCACCATATATTTTAACATTCACTTTTAGTTTCAAGGTTAATCGAGTGTGGAATTATCTCCCCTTTAATATGCATTACTTCTTGAAGATGGTTGCTCATGGTGAATTGTGGGAAATTCTGAACCAATTTGTTGTCTTTCTTCCTGCATATATGCCTTACATTTTTTCAGGGTTATTTATTATGCAAACATTGCACAGAGAAGTGCCTGAGCACAAATTTGTAAGTTTCACTATTTTAGATAGGAAAGTTATCACAAATATTTAGGGTTGTCATCTTCTACAAATTAATTTACTCTGTGTCTGACAAACCTTGTTTTCTTGCTAAGCTTTGAATTTAACTTAGAAAATTATTTTGCGTTAATTTTTTTTCTCAATTTACGAATCATTTTTATGATCTTCAAAATCCAAATTTATCCAATCATATTTATAATATCTGACACCATGTTTTAATGAAGTTAATTAGTTCAGCTGGGATCAAAGATAAAATGATAAATTGCAAACTATCTGTATAAGGTTTTAAAAAAAAATGTTTTATGCATTTTCTTTTTGTTATTGGTTTTTTTCCAGATTTCTAAAATCATATCATAAGCTGGTTATACAGAGTGACACCATTCTTAAGAAAGGAGCATCTTAATAGATCATGTACTAGATATGTGGAATCTAGTGTTTCTCATTGTTAGAGACAATTGCATGGTGTTTTTGCATCAAACAAATTTTCATCTTTTTTTTTTTTTAATTTTATTAGAATGTGATGTATTTTCATTTAACTATGTCATCCAGTCTGTAATCTAAAAATTGACTTTTTACTCGAAATGAAATAAATATCAAAAATTTCTGAGATATTGAATGTTCCTGATTTAGCATTAATATTTTGTTCATATGATCAACAATTCCTGATAAACATCTTCTATTAAATATATTTATATGTGTTTTATTATATGTTGTTAAGATCAAGTGTTCACCAAAGATTTTATATCCTCATGTTATCAATGTAATTGTAAGAATTTTTAATATTTTATATTTTGCTTCAAAATCATATACATGTATGTTATATATGTTGTTGTTGTGTTAAGTGTCATATTATATGTGTATAGAATTTATCTCGTCTTTCATATATACAGTGATTTTTTAAAACTATTTTGCAATGCATATGGGAACAGGTGTCCACTTACTTTTTATACGACCGCAAAAAAATTTTTGTGGTCGTATATTGGTATGACGTTGGCGTCGTCGTCGTCGTCGGCGTCGTCGTCCGGCGTCGTCGTCCGAATACACATTAGTTTTCGCACTCTAACTTTAGTTTAAGTGAATGGATCTCAATGAAATTTTACCATAAGGTTCAATACCACAAAAGGAAGGTGGGGATTGATTTTGGGGGTTATGGTACTAACAGTTAAGGAATTAGGGGCCAAAAAGGGGCCAAAAATAAGCATTTTTGTAACTTCCAGACATAACTTGTGTGTAAGTATATGGATCTCTCTGACATTGTACCACAAGGTTCCATATCACAAAGGGAATGCTGGGATTGATTTTGGGGGTAATTGCCTCCAAATTTTAGGAATTAGGGGCCAAAAAGGGGCAAAAAACAAGCATTTTTCTAGTTTCATGACAATAACTTGTGTGTTAGTGTATGGATCTCTCTGACATTGTATCACAAGATTCCATATCACAAAGGGAATACTGGGATTGATTTTTGGGGGTAATTTCCTCCAAATTTGGGGAATTAGGGTTCAAAAAGGGGCAAAAAACAAGCATTTTTCTAGTTTCAGGACAATAACTTGTGTGTTAGTGTATGGATCTTTATGAAATTGTACTGCAAGGTTCCATATCACAAAGGGAAAGCTGGGTTGGAGTTTGGGGGTAATTGCCCTAAACGTTTAGGAATTAGGGGCCAAAAAGGGACAAAAAAACAAGCATTTACCTAGTTTCCAGACAATAACTTGTGTTCAAGTGAATGGATCTCTCTAAAATTGTACTGCAAGGTACCATACCACAAAGGGAAAGCTGGGATTGAGTGTGAGGGCGATGAATCATAAGGGGGTTCAAAAAATTTGGGGGGGGGGGGATTTTTTTTTCCTTTTTTTTCTTTAAAATTTTCCATTTTAAATTGGTTATTTCTGATTTATATATAAAAGCAAATAATAATGATATGGTTTGAATAGCATACATGTGAACCTCCCGACAGGAGTACAATAATCCTGTTTTCAGGAGTCTCCTCCCGACCTCCGGTTGAAGAGGAAAATTATAATCACGTGTATGAAATTTTTCATGAATGAAAAATTTCTGCCCAACATATCATCTCAGGCATCTGGTGTAACTCACATTACCTGAAGTTATATTTTACCTGTAAATCAATTAACATGCATAATTATATGGCTTCACTTGTCAGCTTGGGTGTCAAACATACTGGTAATCAACGATTTTTTACCTCAGGCTAACTGCCGTTGTGTAACAAAAACTGTGTATTTATTGGGTTACTTCCCTTGATTTATCCTGTTTTAAGTTACTTTCCTTTTAATAATGAAAATTTTTAAAAGAATATAAATAAAATATAAACTGAACAAATAATCATAAAAGGATGGTAAATAAATGATTTTAAATGTCTTAGGACAAATAAAAAAATAATAATTTGAAAATTATTTGAGGATTCTATACTTCCTTTCAAGGCTTAAATTGAAATTTATATAATAACTATGACCCTTGTTTTACAGTTAGAATGATTTTCTGAGTATGCAAACAAAAGTTATTTGCAGATAGTTAAACAAATTTTCTGGTTGCAATAAATGTTTTATAGAATATGAAGTAAAAAATTTAAAGAACATACTGAAAAAAAAAAAAATGTTAGATTGAACATGTAAAATATAAAGATGAAGAAACTTTATAAGTACAAGGGTACTATAAACATAATAAATTGGATGGAAAGTTGAAGAAAACACACTTTAAAAGACCATTTTTACAGCACACGGTTACATTTACGACAAAATTTATGTCGATTAAAAACCTCCTGATCTGAGTCCTAATCTCCTGACCAAAATTTCCCAATCTCCTGATCTGAGTTTCACAGTCCATCACATATATGAATAGGTAAATTAAAAAATTATAAGTTCTTAGACCACTTTCATTCTGTGTCAGAAACCTATGCTGTGTCAAATATTTAATTACAATCCAAATTCAGTGCTGTATCAAGCTTGAATGTTGTGTCCATACTTGCCCCAACTGTTCAGGGTTTGACCTCTGCGGTCGTATCAAGCTGCGCCCCAGCGGAGCATTTTATTAAATTTAGTAGCTCAAAATAAACAAATGTAAAAAAATTTATAGCATTGTTTTTGTGTGATGAACATTTGCACCTCAAAAACTAAATCTAATCATATTATTACTTATCCATCATACAATACATAGAAAAAATATAATTGATTAATAACTAACTTTTGTAGTGTCAATTATGATTTAAATATATTGAGACATTATATCTGTGTATTAATCCTCTCAGTTTATGACAGACATTTCACATTAAATCAGAAGTTTCCATGATTATATGTATATTTATATTTTTATATATGGAAGCATTTTATGTATGCTTTGTGATATTATTTTAATCAAAATTGATGATTTTATTCAATCTGGACCAATTACTTAGTTTGTTTTATTTTATTCTAAGTTATCATAGTGACCATTTTAGATAATTCTGTGTTTAAATGGTAACAGAAAGAAATTTTGTTTATTTTTCTATGTCTTAGTCTTTTTTAATCATTAAAACAAATTTTATTTTCAAAAATATAGTTTTTATGTAGACAGTTGTGTGAAATTAATGTTAGACTTGAAATGTTAAAACATGTAGTATAGTTAGTTTTGTCTCTAGTCTTAAGCTAGTCATGTATTTGTACTCTTATTCAGAGTGTTTGGTGTACAAAAGATACCCTTGTACGTAATAGGAACTCCAAACCAAAACTTAATTGTTTTCAGGATAAATATTTACTAGATTTAGTTATAGATATATTTTACAAGAAATAATATGATCTAGCTGATTTTTGTGCCTTAATATTCCATAATCAGAAAATAATCCTCATACAAATTTTTCAACCTCACAAAATATTAATTGTCAGACAACTTTTTAACTGACTTTGTATCTCCTTAATTTTGAAATACTGAGTCAGGGATTGAACTCATAAACTCTTGAACTGGAGGCTAATATGCTTCCACAAGACCATTGAGGCAGTTTTAAATCAAAAGGAATCTATTATCAGAAAAGGACATTTCCTTTTTTTACACAATTTTATATCTTCAGTTTCTCAATACAGAGTATACTTTTGTACATTAGACAACTTTTAATGTGATAATCAGAAAAGGGTTTGTTTCTTCACTGTAGATATTACCTAACTCTTACCATGTGCAAACCTTAATATTTCAGCCTTTATCCAAAATTAAAAGTTTTATGGCTCCAATGGCTTTCCATACTTTGAGAGGTTAGCTGTTTGATACTCATTTAATGAGTCAGGCATGATCCTTTCCTTCAACCTAAAGCAATTTGTTATTGTTTTCTTCAGGTTAAATGTACAATTTGAAATTCAAAACTTAAATTCAGAGAAAATTTGTGAATTTGGAGGGATAGACTTGACTTATCTGTTTTGCCCAATCAGTACAGAGGTCTGGAACTTACAAAAACAACCTAAACTTGGGAGAATATCACTACTAAATGTGATACTGATAGGTATCTCAAGGTCTCGCAGGTCAAGAATTAGGAGGAAAACAGTCAAAATTTACATTGTTTTGCACAAGATGGCTAATTTCCGGGAAGCAAAACAATTCACTGTGGTAAGAGTTTTAAAGTGTCATGCTCATTTTATTTAGAAATCCATTTATATTTTTAGCTGTTCTTTTTTTTTTTTATATAATTTTACTCTTGTGACACAATATTTATAAATAAGACACTTCTGTATTTACAAAAGCATATTATTTCTGAAATAGCCTTTCAACACTCTGTTTCTTTAAAAAGAAATCATAATTTATTGTGTACTATTAATTACACATACTTGCAGTAAACTTTTTTTTAAAATGGTTGTTTCATCTCATCCTGGCTTCCTCCCCTAAAAATAAAAACTGGCTGCCCTTTGAAGATGAATGTATTATGATATGCATGTACTGCATCTGTTGTTCTGAGCATGTCTTTCAAAATCTAAGTTCATATAAATGAATATAGAGTAAAATTTGAAACAATTATTTTTCAATAAAGACAAAGTCTTTTAAAATTTTCAAAGATTTCAGATTTGTCATTTTAGAATTATTGGACTTATATCTTTAGCAATTACAAGTCTGTCTGTGATAACTTACAGGTAGATAAAATCTAACTTAAATGCCAATATGACTAAAACAATCAATTGACTTCATAGAAGAGTTATTGCCCTTTAATGATAATTTTTTAAACCTTTGATGTTTTTGGATATTATATTGAAAACAGGAATGAATAGAGAGAAACTGTAAATAAATTTTTTTTTCAGTAAAAAAACATTTGAAAAATAAATATCAAAATGCTATATTTTTGCCAGATAAACAACTCAAGCTCTTGGGCACCTTTTGTTTTGTACTACATAAGCCAAATGTAACTGTTGTAACCATACTAAACCAAGCTTTAGCTTTATTTACTATGTTGTACATCTGGCTATATTTAACAATATTAGTATTTATAGGTTGTTGTATATTTTTTTAACAAGCTTTTAAATGTTGTTATCTATCTATAATATGTTGTTGTTGTTGTTATAAGAATTTTGTAATATAAGATTGTTATACTTCCAAAACTACAGTTCCAGAAACCTTTAATTTTATTGTAATCGAAGTTAAACTTCAATCAGGTTGCTCATTTTCTGTTTACGATACAATTTGTACTTCTATGAATAGGACATTCTGTGATGACAAAAACTGATTATAAAGAGTTACATTTAAGTCTTAAAAATGACAACACAAGTTTTCATCTACAGGTTGTTTTTGTCTTACTTAAATGATACATATACTTACAATGAAATATGCTCTCTTTTAATTGTTTATGTATACAAATTATGATTATTTAATGAAGTTTGTCTCGATCTGAATCTGTAAACATTATCAAACCTTAGTTTTAGTTGGGACCATTATAGCTTTGTGTATAATAATCAGTTACATTATCTTTTTCCAAACTTTTTCTTTTTCAGAGAAGGTCTGTTTAATTCAAAATGCAACATAACACATTTGATTTTTACACATTAAAACTCACCAACAAAAGTTTTAGTATGTTAAAACTTGCATATTATCATGTGGAATTTTTAAGCTATGAACTGTTTTAAATTAAAGCTTTAATTTAGTAATTTGTTGAAAAAATCACACATAAAATTGTACTTAAAATTGCAATACTTTGTTCAGGAACTTATGGATTCAAATTTATGTACTGGTCAATTGGGACTGGTCAGTGAGCTTATGGTCTTTCCTTTAATTAAGGGCATAGTAATGTTATGTATAAAGTGCTTGTTATATCATTTATTGTATTTGTTGTGATATATGGAATGCTTTTTAAATAGGTTATTATACATGGATATTAAAGTTTGATACAAAACAAGAAATCTGTCTTATATAATGAAATCACATGCATGTAAGTGAAGGAATTATATAATGAAATCACATGCATGTAAGTGAAGGAATTATATAATGAAATCACATGCATGTAAGTGAAGGAATTTATAAGAAGATGGCAATCAGCAAATTAGAAGGTATATTTGTACATGATCGTCAAACACACAAAAGCGCTTTGAGCAAAACAAGCAAGTGATATCAGGTACTCTGGAAGGGTAAAACATTTCCTGTTTTGTAGGAGATACCTGTCATATTGCACAGTAGTCAATGTTGAGAGTCAAAATAATTTTTAAAAAGTAAAGCACTAAGGGAAAAAATGTCTGCAACAAATATTACACATATCATTATCACCTGCTCACCACTTTATTATTGATAGTGAAAATATCATATGACAGTGATTGTAATTTCAAGGAAGTATCTGTAGCAGACACATAGATCTTGAGAAGATAACCAACTGTCATATGTGAAGTAGGGTAAATGTGTATGGAACAATATCCCAGAAATATGGAACATATAAAAACAACTTTTCAATAAAGAGCATTTTTCATCAGAAGAAAAGTTGACTATAGTTATGCCCCCGCCGTAGCGGTGGGGGCATTAAGTTTTACCCTTGTCCGTCTGTACGTACGTACGTACGTACGTCCGTCCGTACGTCCCAAAATTGGTTTCCGTTCTCTAACTTGAGTTTGCCTCAACAAAATGTTATGAAACTTATACACAATGCTTATTACCACAAAACACAGATCAAGTATGAATTTTGGTGGCGTCACTTTAACCGTTCTAGAGTTATGCCCCTTTATAAATGGAAAAATTGCAAAATTTTTAGTTTCCGTTCTCTAACTTAAGTTTGCCTCAACCAAATGTTATGAAACTTATATACAATGCTTATTATCACAAAAAACAAATCAAGTTTGAATTTTGGTGGTGTCACTTCAACCGTCCTAGAGTTATGCCCCTTTATAATTGGAAAAATTGCAAAATTTTTAGTTTCTGTTCTCTAACTTAAGTTTGCCTCAACCAAATGTTATGAAACTTATACACAATGCTTATTACCACAAAACACAGATCAAGTTTGAATTGTGGTGGCGTCACTTTAACCGTTCTAGAGTTATGCCCCTTTATAAATGGAAAAAATTGCAAAATTTTTATTTTCTTCTAAATATCAAGTTATTTTTAAAATTGGAGTTATCGTCCTTTGTCCATGATTATAGTTGAATCAACTACAATCAATGCTTTATACAATGCAATGTTTAATTTTGACTCTCACTGATAAAACACAGATCAAGTTGAATTTGGGTAGTGTCACTTTAACCATTATTGAGTTATGCCCCTTTATAAATAGAAAAAGTGCTGAATTTTTAGTTTCTGTTCTCTACTTAAGTTAGCCTCAACCAAATGTTATGAGACTTACACACAAAACTCAGATCAAGTTCAAATTTGGGTAGCGTCACTTTTACTGTTCTTCAGTTATGTCCCTTTATAACTATATGATATGCAAGCGGGGGCATCATCTGTGTCCACATGTGGACACTATCCACATTTATTTTTTGTGTGAAAGATTTGTATTGACTTATATTGATGATGGTGTTAAAATGAACATTATACCCCTACTCTAGAAGTGGGGAATATATTGCAGTTACCTTGTCCGTCTAAAAAAATTTCAGCACACATTTCTCTTATACTACAGAACAGAATGCCTTCATATTTGGCCAGCAATTTAACAGTAATGAGTGAAAATGTTTTTTTTTTTCATTCACATCTACATGGTTGACTCAAATTAATAATAACAAATGTAAGCTAGATATCAATGACACATCAACCCTTACACACTGGACGTTAAACAACCAGTAATCAATCAATCAACCATTACATCACAAACGATCAGCCTAGAGGTCACTATATGGCCAACAATGATGGACAAAGCCACAACACAAGCTATACTTTTTAATCCAAGTCTTATCAAAATAGTAACTACTAGGTAGGTTGTCATTCTCTATATTTTATAAGCCACTAAGCAATGATATTCACAATGTCCTGTAAGGTTTATTGTTATTCTCTTATGGTTGTGGTTTGTACTTTATTTCTCATATCATGCTGAGTAATACAAAAGTGATACAAAAAATGCTTTAATTTGATTGGCTTATCTAGCAACATGAGATGATATTGATATATTCCTATAGACAAAGTTCAAATTTGTGCACTTTCCCATACATTTCCTACGTCACAATGCTTATGTTATAATGTCTCAGTAAGAAGTACTGAAAATCAATTGTTCGATGACGTAATTTATGCTGATTGACCTCTGGTCAACTGGTGTAATTCATGAAAAACAATTCAAGATTTGTCTATTGGCTATTCAGTAGGTTGTTGACGACTTTCAACAATTAAGACATTGTACATTTCGTCCATGGCAACAGAGATATGGGATTTCTTCAATAATATAAAAAACACTCACACCAGAAAATCTTCTTTTTGTCAAATTTCATTACATTGTGAAGCGTATAAAAAATATAAACTGTCTGATATTAAAGTTTGACATCAGAACAGGGCTTTTGACATCATATTGGTATGTGCTAAAGACTTAGATCAAGAATTCACTGATTTTTTATATAACACAAGGAGTATATTTACTCTAGTTTAACAACTCGTGAGATTTTTGGATATCACTTGATATCAACTCTATGCTCATTTATTATCATATTGAAATTAAATAACTCTAATTGATATCAAGCAATATCCAATTCTACCTCTTTATGAAACCTATAAGTGTATAACATTTTCTTCAGGTAAGATTTAAAGGTTAAATGTATGCAACGTAAAATTCACTTAAATATTGACATAAACAAGAGTGCACATGCTGAAATGTCTCGTCTGCTTTATTAACTATTTTTTTTATTTTATAATGATAGTCCTAAAGTTTAACTACAAGTATCACATAAAACTTAATATTATCAATGATCCATGAAAATGAGGTCAAGGTCAGATGAACCCTGCCAGACATACATATAAGAATAAGAAGATGTGGTTTGACTGCCAATGAGACAACTCTCTACAAGAGACCAAATGACACAAAAATTAACAACAATAGGTCACCGTACGGCCTTCAATAATGAACAAAGCCCATTTACACATTATTATTGTTCCATAAACCAAATAAAGTTAACCTATTGCTTATAGTATCTTAGAAGAGGACCTAACTTCTGAAACTTAACATTGACCAATGAACCTTAAAAATGAGGTCAAGGACCGATGATACCTACCAGACAGACATATACACCTTACAATCATTCCATACACCAAATATAGTTGACCTATTGCTTTTAGTTTAGGAAAAACAAACACAAAAACTTAACATTGACCAATGAACCGTGAAAATGAAGTCAAGGTCAACTGAAACCTGCCAGATTAACATGTACACTGTAAAATCATTCCACACACCAAATATTGCTTATAGTATCAGAAAAACAGACTAAAACACAAAATCCAATGAACTGTGCAAATGTCAAGGTTATATGAAACCTGCCAGACTGACATGTACACTTTACAATCATTCCATACGTCAAATATAGTTGACCTTCTGCTTACAGTATCTGAGAAACAGACTTAAAAACTTGAACCTTGATCACTGATCCATGAAATGAGGTCGAGGTCAGGTGAAACCTGTCTGACTGACATTTAGACCTTGCAAGGAACACATATACCAAATATAGTTATCTTATTACTCATAACGAGTGAGAAATTTACATGACATAAAAACTTTTTTTTTCAAGTAGTCACTGAATCATGAAAATGAGGTCAAGACAATGGACATATGACAGACAGAAACTTTCTAACATATGGTATCTGTATGGGAGGTATGAAGCCTTCAGGTCTTCTTCCCTCTGAAAAATAAAGCTTAATACAAATAGTTTATGCCGTCCCCACCGGATTGTAATCCCTATGTCTATCTAGCATTCTGTAACTTTTATCAAAGGTGAGACATAAATATAATTTTTTAACAAAATCGTCCTAAAAATTTTAATTCAAATCTTTTAATTATGAGGAACTTCTTTTCAACATGGCTGTCCATTATCACTAAAAGGTTTATTGAGGAAAAAAGAGGAAAAGATTTGAAAACAACAGATTTTATTGAAGACAAAACATTAACAAAACCATTTCCATGCGAATATAAATGATATGTAAAAATGATTATATATTGTATATCAAAATATGACACATTTTACAAATATAATATTGTGTTCAACCTTTCCCAAATAACTAACTGTAGCTTTATATAAGCTTTTACACATTAACAATGCTAATAAATAGTATAAATGTTATAATGTTTTCTATATAAACAAGCAGATCAAGTACCGGTAGCATGAATAATGTAAACTCACCTTTTAACTTTGCACAATACTGATTTAATTAGTTTAATAATCATATAAAATAGTCATCATTGAATGCAGAATCAAATTTGGTCCCTTTAGACCATTGAGATCATATTGGCATAGAGTAAATGTAATGTATCTCCACAGAGATTGTTCAGGATGTCTAGAATAAATTTATCCAAAATGACAACGTCACAAGCCTCAAAAGTTTAAATTTAGAAATTTAAGCTTTTTGAGAGGAAACACATTGTATCACACTTGATGCAGTGGTGGAATCTATATAAATATATTTCTGTTCATGCTCAGATTATGTTAAGAGTATGCATTACATTTCCATGAGCTACCAATAATATCCTAAAATCTCTTTTCATTATCTATTCCGCTTACATGCTTTAATAGCTAAAAATTTTAATATAATTTTTTTCACATGTCTTTATAAAAGAGAAAATTTGAATTAGGATATTTTTTTTATATTGTATGTTTTCTTACATCTCAAAATTCCAAAAAATAATCTTGTATTCCAATTTGTACTACACACTTCTCAATCTTCTCAACAACAAATTGTTAAATTTTCCAAACAATCCATATTGCATACAGAAAAAGGATAACTAAAGATAGAGCAACTATATGTGATACTGAAATAGAAGTCAAGACAAAAGTTGTTATAGATCAAGTCAAAGTTATTGACAATGACCTATGCAATTTTAATTTCTTGCAAAGCTGATGGACACACCCAAATATGCACACAAAAACTGCAGGGTACCTGTGCATGTTTTGAATCAAGACAAGCTTGAAATGAAGCTTTTCACAATTAAGTGCCATATCTACTTTATCCCATGCTTTATATTTCACAAATATTCAATGTTTCATTATGTATACTGATAAATTTTCACTTGTTGTTCCCCTCACTGATTTCTTATCGTAATATTCTGACAACTAATACAAGACATAAATAAAACATGACATCATTCAATCTGACACAGACTATATAAACAAACACATTACTTGACTTGCCTTGGAATGAATTGGGTATAAAGTTTTCTTCTATTCAAATCTTAAAATTTACAACAAGATTTCAATGTGAATATCATTGTTTTGTGTTTTCTTTGTTAGTAAACTATAATGTATATGAATAATTAGTTTTCTGAAGATTGATTTTTTTGTGATCAGAGACATTATTAAGTAAACAAATCACTAATGCCTTAATGTACATGCAGTTATTATACAATATTACATCATTAATACTTTTTTAAGAGCAGAATTTTGCCCATGATATAATCATCACTGCAAAGATTACTTAAATTTACATGATTTATTTTCAATTCTGTTATTTAGGTGTTAGTATTAGTAGCTATAGAAGACTGTAAGCTGTAGAAATTCCACATGAAACTTCAATGAATTTTGCATAGGAAATCAAAACTTCACAGTAATTTTTCATTAGCAGTTGTAAAAATCTTAACAAATGTAAAACATTTTGTTAAACACTTTTCAAGGTAAAGCATGGTAAATATAATATAAAACACATAAAAAAACTTATCTATAAAAACAAATACCATATAAAATCACATGCATTTTACATCAGAAACAAACAGTAGAAACAAAGGTATTCAATTCACATTCTTAATCATGAAAACAGTTTGTACCAGTAATATTTCAAATAGATATATAATTACAATATATGTATAAATACAAAAAGATAAATATCACAGACATCAATGTCCTTTTCCCCTGAATGCCATCTTTAAATGTTCCTCCTAAAACAGAAAATAATAAAACAATTACTAAAACACCAACATTTTACTTAAGGAATCTTACTTCAACAAATGTATTGTCTGAAAAGATTTTATTGCCTAAATAATAATTGAATTGCAATAAACTGAAATATAAATTAGATGTGTGATAATTAGAGGCTCCAAGGAGTCTGTATCATTAAAAGTGATATCTATGCATTACATTTATTTCTTTTCCTGGAATTCAAATACTGTAAATTCAGAAATGGTTTTTTATTAATGGGAACTGAGACTACTATAACACAGAGATTGGTCACTTCCTGTACTGACCAGTCAAATTGTAATTAAAACAGTGTCTACGATCACGTGACTCGGCATGTGACACGAAATGATTGACAAGAAAGCATGGATCCGCCATTGTTGATTACGGAAGAGAAAATAATAACTAATTTTATAACTGATGTGGCTGATTGAAGAGTGCTATATTTCGGACAGTATGAAAATAGGATTTGAAATGTTAATAAATCTTTGTTTTTAAACACTTTGAATAAAACTAGTGTATTTATAGGCTTTAAATATACTCTTTAAACCTGAAAATAACAGTGAGTTAGTACTAGTAGTCCATTAGACTTGGTCAATTTGTATTGCTAGTGGGTTAAACTTAGTCAAACGGAAGCTCAGAAAGAACAGGTTAACATTTTTTAAATTTTTGTTAAAGATCTGTTTAAACAAGAAATGATTGTAACAGGATGCTGTTACGAAGTCTCCCAAACGAAGCTCCCATAATTCGAAATTCCCAGTGTTGCCTGACATTGGACAAAGTCCAGTGAAAATTGGTTTGGTCCAGTAAACTATATGCATTAGTGATGCCTGAGGACTAACCCTGTATATCATTCAAATCATCTTGGCATGACAAACCAGAATATATATGGTTTAGGGGTGGGGATCTCGACCATTTACAAGATACTAGAACATTAGGGGTGGGGGGAACCCCTGGGGACTGACCCTATACATCATTCAAATGTTCGAGACACGACGAACAGGAATATATATTTCCACCATTTACAACATATTAGAACTTTCTCAAATGGCAGGGGGTCGGGATGACCCCTGGGGACTAACCCTGTATATCATTCAAACCATCTTAGCATGACAAACCAGAATATATATGGTTTAGGGGTGGGGATCTCAACCATTTAAAAGATATTAGAACTTTCTCAAATGGCAGGGGGTCGGGATGACCCCTGGGGACTAACCTTGAATATCATTCAAACCATCATAGCATGACAAACCAGAATATATATGGTTTAGGGGTGGGGATCTTGACCACTTACAAGATAATATAACTTTCTTAAATGGCAGGGGGTGGGGGTGACCCCTGGGGACTAACCCTGTATTTCATTTGATGTGCTTTATCATGACAAACCAGAATATATATGGTTTAGGGGTGGGGATCTCGACCATTTACAAGATATTAGAACTTTCTCAAATGGCAGGGGGTCGGGATGACCCCTGGGGACTAACCCTGTATATCATTCAAACCATCTTAGCATGACAAACCAGAATATATATGGTTTAGGGGTGGGGATCTCGACCATTTACAAGATATTAGAACTTTCTCAAATGGCAGGGGGTCGGGATGACCCCTGGGGACTAACCCTGTATGTCATTCAAACCATCTTAGCATGACAAACCAGAATATATATGGTTTAGGGGTGGGGATCTCAACCATTTAAAAGATATTAGAACTTTCTTAAATGGCAGGGGTTGGGGGTGACCCCTGGGGACTAACCCTGTATTTCATTTAATGTGCTTTATCATTTAGAACATTTTCAATTAAAAAGATTGTGTCTATCACAAACGGTTTTCAATTTATAATCATTTGAAAATTTTAAAAAATAAAATCCCATAGGGTTCTATAGTAAAACCCTCCTTTCTTTTTGCCCCTCAAAGTACCCCTTTATTAACCCCAATGCACAAATAAAACCCTGATTGCACCACTAGACATGTTAGTCTAGCATATTGTGAAACACTAAGTTAATCTGACAAGCGGTTTTGGAGAACGGGTGCGGACAAGTTCAAATTTAAAAGCGGCGGAAGAGGAAGAAGAAGAAGAAGAAGAAGAATAATAATAATAAGAAGAACTGAGCAAAACCAATAAGTCTTAATTAAAACAATCATTGATTAAAAGCCAAAAAATTTCAAAGAAAAAATTCATATGATTACATTTTTATAATCAGCAAGTGTGTGTATCTTAATCATATTCACAGGGAATCCATAAGTGCACCAACGATATCTGACAAGGTTTTCTACAACTAAACGGAGCCGGAGCCTTCGTGTATCCTGGGCACCCAGCTGTGAAATCAAAATCCACATCGCATGCTTTTGAAACTACCTGTTTTATAGGTTTGAAATAAAGGAGGGTCTTGAAGGGGTACTTCATTTCTGTATTCTTTAATTTCTGGCTACTTTTCTCTATTCTTTATACTTTTAGTCCATTATTCTCCATTCTTTATATTTAAGCACCTCATTATTCTCTATTCTTTAATTTTTTGGTCCTTCTTCTCGATTCTTTATATTTTTTGCCAATTTTTCTCTATTTTGTAAACCCCCATCTACACCCTATTAATGGTTTACTACAATAAATGGAGCATTCGTGTATCTTGGGCACCCAGCTGTGAAATCAAAATTCATCTCCCATGGTTTTTACATCGGATGACCATGAGGGCATTCCAGTGTATTGCTGTCACCTAGATTTCCATTACGTCACTTTCGTGTTGGGATTGTAACTGATCTATAAACATGATAAATACGCGGACATTATCGAGTGCAAAATAACATCCCTTATCGCTTGTTATAAATTCATTTTTTCAATGGATACTCCTAAAAATATTTTTTTTAGAAAATAAATTAGTAATATGAAAATGTTTTGTCGTTAGAAATATATATATAAGTAAAAAATCTTTAATATCTATGCACACGTACAGAAAATGTGTGTTAATGCATGCGGAAGAATATCTCAAGAACGGTTGCAATCTCCCATGCAGAGTTATGGGTCCTCGCTCTCTCTCAAGGGCCGATAACTCTGCATGGGAGATTGAAAGTTTGGCGGGAAAATATGAATGCCTACTCAAATCCAATCTATTAGAAAAATCGAATTATTACAGAAGAGTGTCCACCATGCACTTGCACTGCACTATTATTAATATTGTAGAATAGAATGATATACAAATGGATGAAAATTATATAAACTTGTAACTGTAATATACAAATATTAATATAATATATAACAACAAACCAGAGTATACTGAATTGTATCACTTCAATATCATATTTATTACGGTGAGTTTGAATTCCATGTCATTTATTTATCATCCACGCACGAACTTGTCTAAGAAGAAAAATTTATATCTGTACATTAACCTCACTTTCAGGTATAGAGATGTGATTTTTTTTTCTGAGACAACTGCTTGTGACCATCCACAAGAACTTGCAGTCATTCGATGTTCAGTACTTCAGTACTTTGATTTGAAATTACCTGTCGTCACAGGTAAAATATTTGTATATTAGATACAATTAACCGGACATGTTTCACCCAATTGTAAAATTTCAACTGTCAGTAAAGCATTACATGTATGTAAGATTAAAGATTAATCTATAAACATTCAGATTCATTCGCATTTTCAAGAGTTGCATAACGGAAAAAACTAATAATGATTAAAAAAAAACATTTTCAAATGAATAGTAATAACTGCAATTGATAGATGAAAAATATTTTGCTTTGTTTTATTTCATTTTAAAGAGAATAATACCCAATACTGAAAAAACCATTGTATATTGTAGGACAGACAAGCTATAGGACAAAATGAAAACTTTAGGGCCCACATATCTTTAATTAATAGGCTATTTCTCGAATCATGTCTTTCACCAGAAAAGATCGTCCTCTTCTTTCATGAACAATAAAAAAAGATGATGCCAGCAAAACATATACATTGTACAAAAAGCCCTAAGGATTATATAAAAGTTGAATCATTAAAAATGTTTTGCTTGCTTTATCCCTATGTTCTATTTTTGGTTGGTTTAATCTTCAGATCAAATTTTGAAACATGACACTCAAAAGTTAATGATTGCTAAGTTTGGTTCAAACTGACTGAGGTGTTTCAAAGGAGAATATGAAAAATATTATGAATGCTAACTAACAGATGTGTGACTAGCAGCAAATCATGAGAAAAGCTAACAAAGTCAAATAAGCTAAAAATTATCAAAACTAAATAAACACCCACCTTTTTTCAATAAATTTCAATTAGTTTGTTGTCGAATCATAACCTGTTTCCTCTTTCTATATCTCGATGATGCATTTCTATGTTATTAGAATACTGCAAAGGACCATTTCTATCAGATGGCCTCACACCAGTTTTTGCCATTTTATGTATTTTCTTTTGGAAAGCACGACCTAGTGTACCAGCTCCTGGAATTTCATCATATATTGACTCTTCATCTTCTATACCAGCATTTCTTGGATTGTAAGTGGAACGTAAACCTCCTAAATTTCCACCATTCCTTTCAGCCCCTTCTACCAATGTGTTAAGTTGACGTTCGTTTACTTTTTCCATGAAGTCAGTAAACACTGGTGTATTGTGACCAAATTTCCTCACAGGCTCACTATTCATCCTGGAGGGATCTTGATTAGTTTTACCCCTTTGGCGTAAATTGTTAGGTTTAAATCCAGATTCTTCACTATTATTGAAAACTTCTCTTTGTGTGCGGGCTAATATTGTCTTAGCCATTCTTTTGAAGTTACCATCTCTAACAGTTTCTCCGAGACGTGTTCGGGTGCTACCTAGATTTCCTGCTCTGGTGTTTCTCAGAGACCTTCCAATGCCAGGATTTCTTTGACTTTCTCGAAGATTCTCTGAAACACCTTGTGTTGCATTATTTTCTATTTTCTTCCTCAACAATTCTTCTCTTGCTCTATCACGTGAATCTTCTTCTTCCTCATCACTTGGATAATCAGGCATTGGCTCACCGACAATTTCTTCACAAAGACGAATCATATCTCTTGCATTTCTTTGTTTATCTTTACTGTCACGAACTTGTTCATCAATATCTTTTTTACATGGATTTGGAATTTCTGTAATGGCAATAAGATGCATGAATGTGCCCCATCTATGCACTAGCATTCCAATGAACTGGATCAGAAGTATTACAACAAAGTATACTACAAACATTAATCCAAGAGCATCAATCTTTATGTTGTCTTCATCAACATTCTCTGCATTGGTCTGTAAATAATATACAGATATATACAAAGTGTCTATAAGTCAAAAGTACAAATAAATATTGTTAGATTCCTACTTGATTCTACTTTCCAGTGCTAAAACATTAGTGAAAGTGAAACAGTGAAAGTGTAACATCACACACGTGTTGACGGTCAATATTAAAATCTTGCAAAATACAATGTAAAATACACAGAAAAAACCATATGTAATATCTAATTTAAGTACTTTTCCTCAGTCAATACATTGTATATGGACCTGTTACATTATATAGACACTCTGACTTCGTCCTCGGTCAATATAATCTGAACAGGTCCATATATATTGTAAAAAGTCCCTAATTGATAAATATTACCCTCAGTAATGGTTTCTAGAATGTAGGCATATCAGAATTTAATAGTTTCCTTGTTGAAAGTGTCTAGTCAGTTATAAAGTTTTCCCTATATTAAAAATCAGAAGTATTTTTGCATGTGTAGCAGTGATAAAAACAAATGTATTTCTTGAACTGAAGAATCAAATTTATATTATAATATAAAATATTTCACATGTTTCAAGGTGATTTCTTTGTAAAATAAAATTGCAATATTTACTGATATTTTTACTGATCTTCCCTTGATATAGATATACCTTAAAAGTAGAGCATTGTTGATGAGTAAAATATGTTGCTCCTCACCCAATATTGCATTCTATACTTACTCCTTAAAGGGGCATTAGCTGTCAAATTCATGTTCACAGATTTGACTTGAATTCTCATATTTTATTTATAACATACTAAAACGTATATCCAAGATTTAAAAAGTCTAAAATAAACAATTTATGATGCATGGACTCGATAATATTTATTAGCATTTGTGTGTATTTTGGTCTAGACGCCATCTAATTAACCATCTAGGTGACCTCAATTAACCATCTCGGTGACCTCATTTAAACATAAATATACATATCAATAGATAGCAAACACATGCAATTGGTATTTTCTAGGTCTGTTTGATTTCATATTATAGGTTAAAAAATATGTTAACCATCGTTTTTACCTGTATAAGAATGAGTTTTTGTGGATCGAATCAGTCAACCAAATGGTTTACCCTTGTTTCACTTTCAATGTTGACATTCTTTTCCTTTTAATAGCTGTACATGCCTAGCGATGTTTCTTAGCTTATTTTGACAAAATTGAACCAAACTGGCTGCGTGAATTATCATTTCACTATTTCACTCTCATTAATGATTGAAAAAAAAAATCATAGTTCCTGTTAAAGTTTGGTACACACTAGAAATGTTTTGAATAAAAAGTTTTTTGTACCAAAAAAAAAAGAGCAATGAACATAATGGCTGAAATGGACATTGCATCCTTAATGCAAGCATCCAAGCTGCTATAAAAGGGTTTTTGCAGTAATATTGAGTAACCTGATTACATACATTGATACCAGTAAGTCAATTAATCTATAATATATTACTGATATATGGTAACAAAAAAGACGGGAAGATACTAAGGTTAAAATAAAGAACAATGAGTCAAAGGAAGAAAAACACAAGACAAACAATAGTTCTTAGAATTTATACTAATATTCATACTTAATGAATTGAATTATGCAGAAATTAAACTAGAAGTTTGTCTTGCAATTAAAAAAAGTATGGAAATGGTAAAAACAGACTTATGAAAACTTATACCCTTGAACTCAAACAGACCCATTGTATCTTCAAAGATTAAATGCATGATTAACAATGGCAGTTATACATACAACTGAAGGAAAGGTTATAACTGCAGGCTTTCTCAACTGGAACATGAAGTTGATGGCTACCCAAATTAGGTTAATAAAGGCAAACCCAGCTGCAACATTGTTCCGTAGTTCAGCAAGTTCCTTTGCAATTTTCTTCTGTTCATCTTTGTTAGCATCCAGTGGCTCTAGGTATCTGAAAATAAAAATAAAAAAAATATGACCTAATTATAGTTTTTAATTGTGTTGGGCACAAAACATTAAGTTTGTGTGGAGGTGTGATTTTTCTTTTTTTAGTTAAACTGATGGAGCCTTAGAAACCATAGAAACCAAGTTTAAGCCACAACTTTAAAAAGTGCCTGACAAAGTCAAGAATGGACAGATTTTTTCCATTTGTCCATATCATATAGTTGATATATTTCCGGTTTCATATTTTATCAAGAGAAATTGTACTTAAAATCTTTGAACTTTAAGGTGACTTGTGAATACTAATATTTAACAACAACACTTTAGGGATTGCTGTAGTAGTTTAATGAAATCATAAAATTGAGAATGGAAATGAAGAATGTGTCAAAGAGACAACAACACAACCAAACAGCCCAAGGCCACCAATGGGTCTTTTTTATCATTGGCAAACATACTAAATCTTCTTATCTTATATTATCCACATCAGGTTTCAAGATAAATCACTGGATAGTAAAGAAGTTTATTATCAGAAAGAACTTACTTTTTGATAAAATTTTGCCAGAAATCTACTTCTTCTTCATTCATCTGCATTGTGTGTCCAAATTGAAATTCTTTAAGCTCTAACCATTTGGGATTTTTGAGGTCATTTCTCTTTTTCTTCTCTTTCTGATAAATATATTCTTCTTCTTTTGTCCGTTTTTCTTCCTCTTCATCTGAGTCACTATCTGACATACTTCCAGCAAATGTGACAGATTTTCTTTTTTTTGGAGGCTTTATTTCATCCACTTTGACTTCTTCTAGTACAGCTCCACTTTTACCTTGTAACTTCATAAACATTTCCATATTTTTGTTCATCTGTTCTAAAAGAACTACACTTTTGTCTTCCTTTTTGGTAATGTCCATCAAACCCTTTAGATCTTGTAACTGAAACTTTGGCATGAAACGACTGAACCACCCCTGTTTCTTTTTTTCCTCTTTTTCTTTCCTTTTTTTCTCTTCTTCCTCTATCTCTGCCTTTGTTTTCTTCTTTGGAACTTCTCTGGTTCCCCAGGAAACTATATTCATGTTAACCAGCGAGTAAATGACAAGAAGTAAAAATCCACTGGGCACACACAGAAAGTAGAGAACTCCGTATATGATACAGCTGAATTCCCAAGGATGTAGAACAGCAGCAAACAAGAAAATGAAAACCATTGCGCATAAGAAGATAACACTAGGATGAAACGGACTTTCTCTGACAGCTGTAATTATACACCCAACAAATACAACCATCATTATAAAGGAATAGACCGCACTTAAGATTTCTGCCACCATGATCTGGTATTTGGGTTTTACTGTGAAGCAAAGTATGGTGTAAATGAATGCTGGTGTAAGGGCTATGGCATAGGATGCCAGAAGGTCCAATCTAAACACAGTCAAATAGGACCCAGCTATCATCATTATGACTGTGGAAGGTCCAATTAAAGTTGACACCATTAATGCACCTAAAAAATAATAAAATCATCTGTTAGTGGTATTATTAATATTCACCATATAAGCACCTTGAACAAGAAAATTTATTCGTAGGACACCTCGATGCGGGACGGTAGCTCTTTAAGTCCTTATGATATTTTTTGACAATTTGCGGACCTTGTGTACAAGTTAATGTTACCATAATTTAAAGGTAAACTACCTAATTAACCAAAATATTGAGAAATTGTACTGGTTTCACACTATCTCATTTCCATGTTCAGTCAAAACCGTAATTTAATGTATAATTATAAAAAGTTCATATTATAATGAAGTTAAATGAACATGTGTTTACACATTACAAAAGTAATCTTCTTATAATTTAACTTAAATTCTATCGTTTAGTTTTCTTTCTTAATTTCTACCTTAAGGGTGTCTTCCTCCATCTTGGATTTTGAAATACCATAAAACAATCGGTCTAGATCTTTAAGAAAATGTGCAAATTTTTAGAGTAGAAGGTAATTCATGTGTAAGAATTTTCATATCAATATAGAAAATGACATGTTTTATCATATTTATGGTTGTATTTTACAAAAAACAGAATAAGTTTGTTTGATTCAATTTTTTCCAACTTTGCCACATAAGGGGTGGCAACTCAAATGTAAGGGCAGATAATTCAGATAAAGTTATTTTTACAATTGAATGTGTTAGGAATTTACCTATTTTATTATGTAGCAAGAAAACGGGTCCGTTGACCCCATTTTTTCTTTTCTTATCAGAAAGCATAATATTTGAGGTATCTTCTCATATTTTATCTCAAAATTCTATGGTGTAGTTTTCGTTTTATGGCAGAAAATTGGGTTTTCCATGCATAATCTATACAAAATCTGTCAATTTTGCACAACCTGTAGCGTGAAAATATGCCCCGTGACCCATTCTTTTTATTATTTTTTTAAAAAAAAACCATGATATAAACTACATTTTGGCAAATTATTAAACAATTCTATGGATTGTAATTTAGACACCCCATCTACCTTAATTGTGAAATTATCCAAAAATAAAACACTTGAGAAAATTTCCCACTTGACAGTATCTTGTTTTAGGAAAGGATAAATAATATTTTGTTCAAAACCACTCAGATTCAAACTAAAAATTCTCTTTTTACTGACATTAAGATGCTTGATTTTTTAATTTAAAACATATTTGTTACTTTAGTGGATGTGTTTTTTAAGAGACAAATCAGCATTCCTATGGGAACCAACCGTGCACCTCTTCTTACAACCTTATTCATTTATCCATATGAGGCTGATTTCATACAGGAATAGAATTTAGAATGGAAATGGGGAATGTGTCAAAGAGACAACAACCCAACCAAAAGAAGACTGCAAAGTAGCTAGCTTTATCCTAAAACTTTCATGTCTGTGTCTGCCACCAGTATATAGATGATGTCACTCTAAATAGTTCAAAGTTTGGAGACCAAGTTGAACACTTTTATTCCAACTTAAAATAAAGGGTACCACAGATACAGTTAATATAAAAATAAGGAAAATATAAGGGCATTCACTACATTTTTCGACTTACATCTAGAAAATGACAATGAAGGTTGATTGTGAACTAAATTTTGCAACAAAAGAGATAATTTCAGTTTTCAAATCATGAATTTTACATTTCTATGCAGCAACATTCCAGCTATGCCTGTATATGGAGTTTAAATCTCACAGTTGATACAATATTTCAGCTATGCCTGTATATGGAGTTTAACTCACAGTTGATACAATATTCCAGCTATGCCTGTATATTGAGTTTAAATCTCACAGTTGATACAATATTTCAGCTATGCCTGTATAGTGAGTTTAAATCTCACAGTTGATACAATATTCCAGAACTTCTGTTTCCAATCACACTGTCCTTGAAAGAGAGTTGCTGCTTAATGGGAAGCAATGGATTCAAGCTTTCTAAAGTTAAAGTAATCCCTTCAAAAATTTTATGATACCATCTTGATTTGGATTGTTATGGAATATCTGTGTCACAGATGACTACAGATAATTTTCTATTGTCATTGCCACAATCCAGTCCTCTTTTCTTTGATTATGACATCACATATCATGAGTATTTAGTTTTCTGTGTATTAATTTGCAAACTGTAATTTGCCTTTTGTTGTTTTTACATTTGGCCATAATATTACATGTATCTGCTTTTCCTTGACTTATGATTTTTTATTGTTCCCTTAGTATTTTCTACCTTTTTGTACCTACCAAATTAAATACCAATTTGGACAGTTACAGTCATTTTTCACACTGAGTATAATTGTGATCAGATTTGATCTAGATCATCTCCAAAAATATTTTTTGAAATATGGTCAAATCATTTAAGGAAAATAATCATAATGAAGAGTCGAATGACAATTGTAATCACTTGAAGTTATTTTAGATCTTGTCTAGATAATCACATTTGCTGTGTATAGTTTTTCTAAATCTATCATAGATTTACAGGTAATTGCAATCAAAGTGCTGGATAGCACCTGTGGAAAGTTTGCAACGGTAGATGTGTAATATTTCAAATAGGTTGTAAATGTGTAGATTGGGTGTTAAACTTTTTTCCGAATTTAAAAAAAAATTACTTAATTTACAAGAAATAATTGTAACATGATGCTGTTACGAAGTCTTCCAAACAAAGCTCCCATAATTAGTCATTCCCAGGAAGGGGGTGGGAGTGACCCCAGGGGATTCACCTTTTATTTCATTTGATTTGTTTTATTGTCCCATACAAGAATATATATGGTTTAGGGGTGGGGATCTCGACCGCTTACAATTTTTCAAATAGAAGGGGGTGGGATGACCCCTATGGACTTCCTCTATATTTCATTTGATTTGTTTTATTGTCCCATACAAGAATATATATGGTTTATGGGTGGTGATCTGGACCGTTAATAAGTTCTCAAACAGGATGGGGTGGGGGTGACACCCAGGGACTCCCCCTATATTTCATTTGACTTGTTTTATTGTCCCATACAAGAATATATATGGTTTAGGGGTGGGGATCTCAACCGTTTTCAAGTTCTCAAACAGGAGGGGGTGCGGCTGATCCAAGAGGGACTCCCGCTATATTTCATTTGATTTGTTTTATGATCCTGTGATCATTACTGATCAAAGCGTGAAAGCGCTGTAAAGGCAGTTAATTACAGGTTGTGTGTATTTTTAGTCCAGTTATATCATTATCTTGCATATTACATTGTACTTATCAGAGGTGGCTTTCAGTATTTAAGATTTAGAGTTCTCTAATGATATTGAACAAGTTTTATGAATGTCATATTCTGAGCACTATATGAAGGCGATTGTTCTCACTTGTTTATGAACTAGTGCATTATGTCCACTTTGTACCTTTTTTTATCTATGTTTATAGTCAAATACTGTTTAAAATAGTTTGGCATTTTCTTTTTAGTAATAAGTAAATGTTATCAACTGTATTTTATTCAACTTCGCAAATGTGGTTTGTTACTGGTAGGTACGATGTATGGATGATAGTTGTTTCATTGGCAATCATAACACATCTCCTTATTTATATAAAATGATCTATATTCAACGACCTCAGGTACAAAAAAAATGTATGTAACTAAACTATGATGGGAAACCTTTGACTTCTTTCTTTTATATAAACTTTTGATTTGGTACCATAAAACTATGTAGAATAAATGTACATTGCAACATGTCAACTCTTTCAATGACAATACTTTTTTAAGAAACTATAACTCCAAGCAAAATTATATTTCCAAGTATAAAGTAATTTATGAATAAAACAAGAGTGCACACGCTTAAATGTCTCGCCATCTTTACTAATCATTGATATTATGTTGATAGTCCTAAATATAAAGCTTTATTACAACTGTCACATAAACTTAGCATTAACCAAGTAAACTAAACATTGACCAATGAACCAAGAAAATGATGTCAAGGTCAGATGAACCATGCTAGGCAGGCATGTACAGCTAACAATTCTTCCATACAACAAATATAGTTGACCTATTGCTTATAGTTTAAGAAAAACAGACCAAAACACAAAAACTTAAAACTGAGCAATGAACCTTGAAAATGAGGTCAAGGTAAAAAAAACCTGCGTGACTGACAAAAAGATCATAAAATATTTCCATACACCAAATATAGTTGAACTATTGCATATAGTATTAGAAAAAAAGACCAAAACTCAAAAACTTAACTTTGACCACTGAACCATGAAAATGAGGTCAAGTCATATGACACCTGCCAGTTAGACATGTACACCTTACAATCATTCCATACACCAAATATAGTAGACCTATTGCATACAGTATAAGAAAAACAGACCAAAACACAAAAACTTAACTATAACCACTAAACCATGAAAATGAGGTCAAGGTCAGATAACACCAGCCAGTTGGACAGTCCTTCCATACACCGAATATACTAGACCTATTGCTTATAGTATCTGAGATATGGACTTGACCACCAAAACTTAAACTTGTTCACTGATCCATGAAATGAGGTCGAGGTCAAGTGAAAACTGTCTGACGGGCATGAGGACCTTGCAAGGTACGCACATACCAAATATAGTTATCCTATTACTTATAATAAGAGAGAATTTAACATTACAAAAAATCTCAACTTTTTTTTCAAGTAGTCACTGAACCATGAAAATGAGGTCAAGGACATTGGACATGTGACTGACGGAAACTTCGTAACATGAGGCATCCATATACAAAGTATGAAGCATCCAGACCTTCCACCTTCTAAAATATAAAGCTTTTAAGAAGTTAGCTAACGCCGCCGCCGGATCACTATCCCTATGTGGAGCTTTCTGCGTTAAAAGTCACAGGCTCGACAAAAAGGAGTTCTTAATTAAGAAATAAACTGATTCGCTGAGCGCAGCTGGATACACCTGCAGAGGTCCAACCCTGAACAGTTGGGGCAAAAATGGACACAATATTCAAGCTTGATACAAGTCTGAATTTGGATTGTAATTAAATATTTGACATATTATAATTTCTGAATAAATGTAGTCA